TATTATTTAAAAAACCTGAAGATTTAGGTGTTATACACCTTATTAAAACAGACACTTATTTTGTTCAGCGAATCCAAAACTGCAATAATATACAGGACATTCCATTAAAAAAACGCAACTTTGATACTTTTAGAGCTTTTGGGACACTGCAAAAATATTTTTAAAACGTGCGCTCGGTAGGCGTCGGACAATTCATAAAATAACACTTTTTAAAAATCAAACGGTTTAGCCGCAAACTTCCGTGCCGTATAGCGTGAATAACCCTGTGTTGAGTTAACATTTTCGTCTGCACCTGAATATTTTGTGTGTGTTTTTTTTACTTATTGTACAAATCGTCTTAAAAGCAGATTTTCTTTTGCATCTTTCTGAGAAGAATCGCCCGCTACACCCTCCCCTTTAATTATCGGCTGTTGCATCGGCTAAAAGCAACAATTTGGACACTTTAACTACCTGGATAACGTATGGGTACACACGTAAACCTGGATATATGGAAGTGATTCGAATCCGAAATGATTACAGGGCAATATATTCTGGCCGACTGGATCTAGGCGACTGAATTTACGACCTCCTTATTACACTTCCTTCACTTTCAGCAAGCATTATAACGTTGGTTGGCACTGTATCTAATGCTGTTCCATTTGATACGAAACGGCACTGGATAATGTAGCCCCATATATTTTCCGCTCACTTTTAATGCGTGTTGTGATTTTCCACTTAAGCGGAATATATTTTACCTCGGCAACCACTTTACGATAATCGGGGAAAAACATTGTTAGTTCAGTTAGACAAGAATACAGGTTTTTTCAAAATTGTTGTCAAGTGTTGAAACAGTAATAAATGGGCTGTTCAATAAGAGAAGCAAACAGCAACAGCGACTTCGGCATGTTGAGATGCTTCGAAATTTCTTGTCACCAGAACTTCAACGGCGACAAATTAACATGATGGAAGCAAATCTTTGGCCAAACTGCCCAGAATTTTAAATTTTGCCCGCGTGATAATTGGGAGTCTGTAAATGGGTGATTTTCTGCACTCAACTGCATATTCGCTTGTAAAAATGCATATTCGCAGCTTCCAAACTAAACCAACTAAAAGTTAACATTTTTTTCCATCTTTAGAAGATACATATTTCATGCCGAATGTTTCAGAAAATGTGAGCCGAGCGCTGAATTTGACCAGCTTGTTAAATACTAGTCTCAAAATAGACGTTTTTACTGAGCGGCGCCCTCGCCTTTAAAAATTCCACACTTCTAAACCAAAGCAACTGAAAACTTTGAACTTTCACAATGTTTAGAAGAGATTTGACTCTAAAGATGCCGAAAGTTTCATAGAAATCACCTCAAATGCTGATTTTTGCCAGCTTAGTAAAGTCGGTATAAAAATTGACGTTTCTTTTGAACTGCGCTCGCTCCTTAAAAAAATCGCACCGTCCCAAGAAAAGCAAATAACCATTCCAAATTTTTACCATTTTGAAAAGACGCTTGGCTCTTCAGACGTC